GCGATGCATTGCTTGGCGTTGGGCAGCGGCTCTCTCGAGGGAGGCAGCAGGCACGAAGGGAAGGCAAATGCGTACCTGCCTGGTCAGCGACCTAGCTCAGTCGGTTACACACGCAAGCGGCATTTCAGGGGTCTCGAGTTCAGTCCCTATTGGCCCTGCATGCATGGGCGAGACTAATGTGTGCTACGTAGAAGAGTAAAAGGAGGACGTACCTTTGCTGTGGTAGGCAACGAAGATAGAGTGTGCCGGATCCTGCAGTCGGCCCGGGCTTAGCCACTCGCCTGGCCGTTTGAACTGGTCCGCGGGGAAGCAACTTGCCTGAGAAGATGTGGTTGGTGGAAGCAGAGATTTGGCTGTTGCAGTTTGACCAAGCGGTTGAGCAGAGAGTTACGACAGGCGGAGCTGCTGTGGGGGACGCTGCACTAGCTGCTGTTGATTCTGTTGACTGTGCGCAAACTGCGGCTAACTCTGTTAACAACGCTGTATATTGCTGCTGCGTGCAGCTGGCCGCCCGAATTGTGGGTGCATCTGCGAACTGAGCACGAATTGCTGCTGCGCGCTGCACATTAGCCGCTGCCTGTTTGGTTGCTGCACTTGGCGGCACGCTGCCGTTTGCTATTGTCAATTATTACGGCCGGCTATACAGGCGCCAGCAGGTGATTGGGGTCGGGAAGGGAGACTGGTATGGTGATGTGGGGGCTCATCAGGGAGATGATTTCGGCGGCCTGACTAAGAGTCGAACAAGCTGTTGCATCGGCTGCCATTGTGGGGCCCTCAGGCGAGACAAGAATCGAAGGCCCTCTCTCGCGAGTCTGAGTGCACCATTCTTGTATCTGAGAGTCTCAAAACTATCTACCCCTGCCCTTCTTACTCTAAGTCTAATCCCTTGGTTCTGAGAGGAAGGCGGCAGGCGGGATTGCAACCCGTAATCCGCGCCCAGGCCTCTGTGGGAGGTTCGCCCCACCGATTGCGGGAGCTCTGCCGGAGCCTAGGCGAGGCTCTGGAGGCAGGGAATTGAGAGGTAACCATTCCTTTCCCTCTATATACCCTGACATAACCCCTACTTGTACGTCTTGCTATGTTTGACTGAGTGTACTGCGTGCACCCCTACTTTGACTTTGGTTTGATTGACAGGACACAACTCATATTAAGTAAAGGAATGTGTGCGCAATCTCAGTTTCAGTTTTTGTTGATTGCTTGAAGGCAAATTATGAACACAAGGGGTTGCATCTGGGGGAAGGGTGGGTGAAAGGTGGTTTTGCTTGAGCCTGAATGGGTCCTATGTGGTTAGACCAGTTCCATAAGATTGGACGGCCTAACCGCTGTGTTTTATTTTTGAATTGCATGGAGAGTCCGACCAGTTCCATAAGATTGGACGGCCTGATTGCTCTGAATTGTGAGGGTTTTACTGTGGTTGACTTTTCAGGGGCCAAACCTGTACCATAAGATTGGAGGGTTTGGCTGCCATGTTTGATTGGGGTTTGTTCTGTTTCTTTTGTTTTTGATTGAGGAGGCCTGAGCAAGTCCATAAGATTGGACGGCTCAGCCCCTTCCTGTTTTTATTCTGAGGGGGTAATTCGTGCTGAGGGCAGGGCATGTCCATAAGATTGGACAACCTTGGACGCATGCCATACACAGTGGATCAGAGAGAAACGAACCTGGCAAAGGACCAGATATGTTCCATAAGATTGGACGGTATGGCCCAATGCCACGCACATGCGGGCACCCAAAATGTTAAATTTTGGCAATATTTTATACTATCGTATCTATGAATAGGCTAGCCAGGCATGGGTTCCATAAGATTGGACGGTCTGGCTATAGCTTATCATGAAATGAAGAGGGTATAACTAAAAGTATAATTGAAGTTAACCCTGAGAAGGTTGATCCTTGTTCTAAGATAAACGGCTCAGTCTTATGCCCAGTTGTTGAACACCAAGCTCAGAGAGGTATATATAAGTTGGATATTAAACAGTTATGGGCGACTAAGCCTAGTTCTAAAATGAACGACCTAGACGTATGCCCAAAAGGAAGAGAGAAGTAGTTGTGCAACCTGTTCGTGTATACTCAATGGCTGAGTCAGGCAAGTTCCATAAGATTGAACGGTTTGACTTTATGCCCTATGTAAGCTGGGTATAAGGGAATAAAGCATCCAAAGATTACGAACTATTGTTTGCAAAGTTTGACTTGGGAAGGCGAGAGTACTTACCTTTGTGGGTTGGCCTGCATGAGACTGAGTGAAGCTACTACTTGGTCTGAGTGTCAGGTTGACAGGTAGTTGCTTTAGAGGCTCGCTTCGTGCTAGAGCGATAGGAGTTAGGTCAATTCTTGTGTTGTATGAGCTAAGTTTTTTTTACTTAGATCAATGCTCGCATTTTCTGAGATCTTTTGTTATACTTGGCTTTGTATAAATTTTGGTAAGCCCCTTTCTCTACGGGAAGCGCTGCCGACATTTCTGCAAATCCAAGGAGTTAGTCAAATTTTGACATGTCAAAATTCAACTTGTCTAAAGTAGATATGACTTAGTAAAAATCTGGAAAGTCTCCTTTTCTAAAGGGAGTGCTGCCCGAATTCTTGCTAATTCAAGGAGTTAGACAAAATTGGACCTTGGGAAGTCAAGGACTATTTCTGTTTCGTATTCGAGCTGATATAAATTCTGGAAAGATACATTTCCTACGGGAAGCGCTGCCGAAAATTTCTTGATTTAGAGGAGTTATATTATATTTTGACAGGTGGCGATTCTGGCGATCCACCCTGAATAGGGGAGATCCTGCCATTAGTCTACCTTTGCTTTGGGCGCTGGCGTAGAGGTAGGCTTAGACTTAGTTGGCACATAGCTATGAATGAGGATGTATTATAGAGGTTCATCCCCATAGGCTGATGTTTTGTTTGGGCCTTGACCTGTCTCATGGTACAGGCCTTTCTTGGACGTTCGATTCAGGATTTGGGCTAGCGTCAGCTTGATGCTACAAGGATCGCCTTCTGTTATCACTGATAACAGGTTGGTTGCCAATTCGTCGGTCTACGACTCAATTCCAACTCACTCTTCATACCCAACCTAAAAGACTTTAGCCCTGGTGACTTTGTTGTTTGTTGAGGGTTTCACCCGGACTTTTATTTAACGAAGGTACTGAGTATTTAATTATGGTTGGTTGGACGGGAGATTGGGGCTTGCATGGCTAAAGCAAGGGGTATGACTGTGGAGATTCGTTGGGGTTGACTCTGTGTAGTGCGTGGTTGCTACTCGACTCTTTGATGTGATTGCAGGTAGACCTTGTGGCTCGGATTTGGATTTGGGATTGCCTGCGATCTCATATATGTACTTATGGCTGTAAGAAGTCCCACAGTGCCTGCGGGCAGTGATCGTCGTAATTTTATCTCCCCTATGTGTGTATGCTTGGGTGTATTTATTGTGGGGGTTCGCGAGGCCGGGGCCGCGATTACCACATATGACCGACATTGTTGGTCGGTATGGGACTGGCCAGCAGCCGCGCAACCTTATGTAAAAATCCTGTGTACGATGCTTCGCCGCCCCAACGCCCAGAGGTTATGGGATCGGGAGGCTCGCACGTAGACGCAAACGCTGAGGTTATTGTAGGTCGTGAGCATTACCCAAGGAGAGAGAGGGTACCCCCAAAAGATCACGACCCTGGGTGGAATAAGAGGGGGCCCTCGGCCCATTCATCTGCTTTTTAGGGTTTTTTATGGTTGGGCGTTGTAGTCCGTGGCAGCCTTCAAAGTCAAACTCCTTGACGTTTGACCGCCACGACAGCTTAAAGTTGTCTACTCAACCCCTCTGCACAGGGTGCAGAAGAGGGTGTGGTTTTCAACCGCGTGTGGCGGTTGTCTAGCGCCGAGAGATTAACCCTCAAGGCGTGTGTCAGCTGACACTTGAGTGTCGAATGCGACCCTCGAGATTAACAAGGACCGCACAATTGTGGGCACTACATAGTACGCCATCATCGTGACTGCTTGCGTACGTCTGCATTGCGAGCCGATATGGGATAGCCTGCGTCCGCGCAGTTTTATACTAACTCGCGCGCGTGACGCTTGTCCGATCTCCGTATCGGGAAGTTATGGGTTAGCTACCGAGGGGCTAGGAGCGTTTGTCGCGTTGTGTCTCATATCGTGTTGTATGTGTGCGCGTGTATGTTTTAATTTTGTGCTCGTAGAGTGGTGTGCGCGTGGTGTGTGGGATGCGTCCTAGTCGACCGACGACGAGCCGCGCTTGGAACCTCAGCTCCCCAAGATGATGGTTCGCGTGCGGGTCTGATAGGCGTATTACCGTGCATACCCGCTATCCTACAGTGAACGAGAAACGCCCTCGGCTGCTCCACCTCTACGATTGCAATTGAGTAGGTTTCGTATTGTGGACTGGTAGTTCGGCGGGGATACGCCCACCGAAGGGAGGTGACAGCTCCCGTAAGGTGGAGGCAAGTTGTGCCTCGCGTAGGCCCTATCCTGTTGTCGGGGCTCGCGAGAGGTATGGCTGGCGCACTCGGCTGGAGCGGCCTAAGGAAGCCCCATTTGCGTGTTCGTGTCGAGGTTGGTCCAACTCCTGCGTGACGCGGCCGAGAGGGTCCCGCACCGCCACGTGAGGTGCCGGACCGATGCGCTCGACAGGTGGCGCCGTTGCCGGGGATAACGGAAGCCTACCGTTGTCCCTGGTGGAACGACATCCGGGTATGAGATTGAGGGAGAACTAGGCACATGAGTGGATAGAGGGAGAACTATGAGACGAATTGTATAGTAATCCATATGGTTGTGTGCGAATGTGTGCTGATCTGATTGATGGTTCGACTGATGGTTTGAACGAGGTGAGTATGTGAGTGAATTCGGTGATGAGAATGGGTCTTACCTAGGTGAACCCAAAGGAGGCAGGAAGTAGAGAGAGAAATGTCTGCCAGGTCTAGAGTGTCGGGTATTTAGGTGGTCGGTCCGACAGGATCGTGAAGGAATGGACTGCTGAGTGGAACCTTTCGTCCTATCGCTTCTTATAACAGGGGGATCGAAGCCGAAGGCAGTTAATCAAAATGTCTGAGGAGATGGCGGACGGTGGGAGAAAGCTTGCAACGCTCGACGACCTCATCGATGCCCTGGATAAGCGCGAGAGAGCGCCGAACAATGTCCCGAAGGTTGACACTTTCCACTTCAAGGGAGAACGGGTGTCCGACTGGCTGGACCTGACGGAGCAAGCACTGGTGGGGCTGTCGGACGAGGTCCAGCTCCAGCAAGTCCTAAGATATGTCCTTCATAGCCACCATCAGGAAGTGCGCAAAGTCGTGGATGCCGCCAATGGTAGTTGGGCGAGGTTTAGGGACATGATGCAGAGAAAGTACAGGTTGGGGGATGGCTTGTTGACCATGGCGGATTTGGAGGCCATGAGCAAGGATGACTTCTCCACGATTGGGGCGTTTGTGCATGAGTTTAAAAGGAAGGCGCGGAAGGTGCATGGGATCTCCGAAGAAACGCAGTGTGCCATATTTTTTGGGTTTGCTTACTGGCTCGGAGGCCTCGGAGCTGACGGGTCAGGGAAGGGGAAATGAGAAACTCACCTGGGCCACTATTGACAAGGGGGTGGAAGAGGGGAGCCTGGACCAGGTGGAGCAGCACCAGGTGCGGCTGCAAAGGCGCAAGAGAAAGGAAAGGGACGCCACCGCGTCCGGAACCCCAGGGGTGAAGAGGATCGTCACGGACGTATTGGCAACGCTGGGGTATGATAATGAGGCGGAAGTGCAAAAGAGGGGAGTGACCGTCGCCCAAGGCCGGGCGTCGGGGGCAGTGGAAGAGGAGGCTAGGCGCGAGGACTATGGCGGAGAAGAGACGGGCTCCCAGATCCTAACCAAGGCCCAGAGGAAGCAGCGGAATTTACAAGTGGGCGGTCAAGGATCCGAAAAAGGGCAGGTCCCGCAAGCGATTGCTGCGCCGTCACCTGCTGCCACAACAACGTCGGCGACGGCCAGGCCGTTGTGTATGGGGCCGCCGGCGGCTTGTGGGCACTGGGTGCCGCATTGTCAGCCTGCATCCTGACGCAGTTGCAATCACTGCACCTCGTGCGGGGGTAGTCAAACTCAGCCTGGGCAAATGGTCCCTTATGCGGGCCCAACGGCAAGTATGGGGCCCCCGAGCTACCCCGCGGCTCAGAGTCAGGCCTCGCAGGCTAGCGTGGCCGGGGGAGGAAACCAAGGACAAGGTGGGCAAGGCAATGGAGGCCGAGGTCAAGGGGGTCGAGGAGGTGGTGGCCGGGGCCGAGGAGGAAATGGTGGGGGATCGCGCAGGTGGTTGGAATGGTCAAAGGGGCCAGGGCCAAGTTGGCCGAGGCGGCCAGGGAGGGGGTCAAGGGTATGGGAGGCCCCGCTTTGATTAGCGAAATGCCACCTGCTGGCATTGTGGCGATGTAGGCCACACGGTGCGGTTCTGCGAGCTGCGGCGGGAGGATGAATTGTCAGGGTTAATCTCCTCTTGTATGGACGGGGACATATATGATAAGTGGGGTGAGCATATTGACCCCAGGACCCCGAGAGGGATCAGGCAAGAGGCTCTCTGGCGAGCAGCAGCGGGGCCCACAGCACCCCCGACAATGTTTAGGATGTGGCAAGAGAAGGAAGAGCCGACCGTAAGGGTCGAGGAGATTGTGGGGGATAACGAGGAGGTCAACCAGCGGCTAAAGGCAGGGACTATAAGAGAGGAGCCAATAGTCGTCGAATCGGATGATGAGGGGCAGGAAGGCGAAGGAGAGCCAGTTATACTCCTCCTGGGGAGGATGGAAGATCTGCTGGAAAAAGTGGGGAAATACCAGCGGAAACTGCAAACCCTGTGTGAAGAAGTCCGAGAGTGGGAGGCCAACCTGCCTGAGGTCATCCTTTATGACTCCGGGCCAGAGCCTTCGCCAGGACAACAAGTGTGCCCAAGAGTGGCGACCGTAGGGACGGGCCCTAGGTCAGGTATGGCCTATAGACCCCCCACGTCACATGGGAGGGCACCGCAGGCGGCTCGGACTAGGAGCCAAAACAAGGTTGGGCCTAGCCGAGAGCCCAGTCAGGCACCCCCTCAAAAGGAGCCTGAGCCAGAACGTAGGAAAGAGGTGGTGGAGGTCCGGGAGGAAGAGGAAGAGGATGACGATGAAGAGGATGAGAGGCTCCGACAAGAGGAGGATCAGCGGGCGGAGCTGAGGGCCAAAAAGAGAGGAGCCCGGGAGGAGGCCGAGCCAAGCCTGCCTGACAGCGTGCCTAAGAGGAAGAAGTACGCGGTCCGGATGAAAGAAGGCTTTGATGTGGAGCGGATGGTGGACAAGCTCTTGGAAGGCCACAATGACTTGATGAACTTAGAGGATATCTTGGCGTCGGCGCCAAGGCTCCGTGGTGAGTTGAAAGGGCGACTCTCGCGAAGGCTGGTACCAAATGTCCACCTAAGTACGGTCCTGCCCAGGGAGGTGGAGTGGACTGAGGCAGGGACAAGGATGGATTGGAAATGTGTGGCGTGTGGGCAGGTGGATCTGGTGATAAAGAACCAGAAGTGCATTGGGATGGTGGACACGGGCGCAGAAATGAATATTATCAGGGAGAAGGAGGCGGTGATGATAGGCATGGAAATCGACCGCTCGGACCATGGCATGCTGCATGGCGCCAATTGCAAGGCCGCTTTTTGCGGCACGACGTCTAATGTGATTATAGAGATTGGGAAAGTGCGAGCTAGGACGTGCTTCTTCGTCATGCCCGATGTCGATCATCCCATCCTTCTAGGAAGGTCGTTCCTATGTCGACGGAGATGTTGATTTTTAATAAGCACGACGGGACAATGATCCTGCTCCTATGCGACCCAGCATGTGGGAATTATGAAGTTATCACCTGTCAGAACACGAGGCCGGGGAGCGGGAGGAATAGGCTTAATCTCGGCTCATTCACCTTTGAGGAATCGGAAAATGAGCGAAGACGACTTTGGGAAGTGCCCGAGGAGGAGGATAAGGCTGAGGTGCTGACACTGAGCCTCACAGATCTGAATAAGGCCATGAAGGTGGTGTCGGCTCATGACATGGCAGACCTGGAGGTCATTAAGGCATTGAGGGAACAGGTTTTGGAGAACCCTCAAGTGGGAGAGGTGGAGTTGGTGTATCGGCTTTCAGGAGGGGGAGGAGGCCCTGCAATGGCCCAGGCCTGAACAACAAGTCGGCCTTTTTTAGGGGAGGGCTTAAACAGGGCTCCCAAAGGCGGTACAAGACTGTAGATAAGAAGTGCCGCCCAGTTCTTGTGCTCATCACGGAGGATGAGGAAACCTACTACGAGCGGGAACGAGGATTGATACGGCGTATGCGGGAGCAGGCGTTGGCCGGGCCGTGCCGTATCAACGACGAGAATGAGGGGAAGTTGATAATCGGGGAGTCCGACTTCCTGTCACCCCAGGAGAGAGCGTTGATGGTGGGACTGATGAAGAAAAGGCACCGTGCATATGCGTTCAATGACGACGAGCGTGGGAGGCTGGATGTGGACAAGATTCTGATGATACGAATCCACACTGTTCCACATGAGCCATGGAATCTAAGGGGTGCACGATACCCAAATTCGGATGAGGAGAAGAAGGTGGTGGACTACCTGGACGGCAAGATGCGGACGCACGTGGCCGACTATTCCAGCGGACCGTACGCGTCGCCTTGGTTTTGTTTTATTAAACCAAATGGGACGCTAAGGTGGGTGCATGACTTGCAGCGGCTAAATGCGGTGACAATGCGGGACGCGGGAGGGTTGCCGAATGCGGACGCATTGTCAGAATCGTGCCCAGGGAGGCCTATAATCTCGCTCATAGATCTCTACTCTGGGTACGACCAATTCCCTGTATACCCGCCAGACAGGCCTGTAACGACGATGCACACACCCAGAGGGTTGATTCACATGAACGTGGCGCCTCAAGGTTGGACGAATGCAGTAGCGATGGTGCAGAGGCATATGATCAGAGCCATGCAGACGATCAACCCACATATTACCCAGCCCTATATCGATGACCTGGCGGTCAAAGGTCCGAAGGAGAAAGAGGAAGACGAAGTGATGCCCGGTGTGCGGCGTTTTGTCTGGAAACATGTCCAAGACATCGATCGGGTTCTGGGGTTATTGGAGGAACCTAACCTGACGACAAGCGGCCCCAAGTCGAAACATTGTATGAGGGAGGCCACGATTCTAGGTTTTGTCTGTAATGAGAGTGGGCGAAGGCCCGACGTAAAGAAAACAGAAAAGATCCTTGAGTGGCCGGTGCCCTTCCGCTCGATAACGGATGTGAGGAGCTTCCTTGGGACATGCGGGTTTTGGAGGAGCTTCGTAAAGGACTTTGCCACAAAGACGGAACATTTAAGGAAGTAGGTGCGTCAGGATCAGGAATGGGTCAGGGGCGAGGACCAGGAAGAGGCGGTTGGTAGGATGAAGGGAGAATTTAAGGAAGGGAGCTTGGTATTGGGAGCGCCAAACTATGTGGCCACGGAGGAAAGGTCATTCGTCATTGAGACGGACGATGGGCCAACTGCCTTAGGAGGAGTCCTGATTCGGGCAGACATTGAAGGGAAGGAGAGACCGCTAAGATTCGAAAGTCGCACTCTCAATATGATTGAGAGGAACTATTCTCAGTTCAAGAAGGAGACGCTGGCGGTACTTCATTGCCTAAGGACCTTCCGGAACTATGTTTTCGGCCGGAGGCTCATTTTGAGGGTGGACCCCACTGCACTTGCATGCTCCCTGAAAAATTACACTCCATCTGACCCAACCGTCGCAAGATGGTTGACCTACATTTGGATGTTTAATTTCGAGCTGGAGAGGATTCCAGCGAACAAGAAGAGGGCAGATGGGTTAAGCCGCATCAACTGGGACGAATCGAACCAGGAATCAATAGAAGACGCCCCACCAGTTGATGGGTTTTTGGACCAAGAGGAGGACGTCCGCCTGCATATAAACGAGTGGTCGCTGCGAGTACCCAGTTGCGTCAGCCACCCTATATGGTTAGCGCCAAAGGGGTACGAGCAGAAGGAAGAGTTGGTCCTCAAGCCTTTTCAGGAGGAGGATCCGTGGGGGAGCAAGGATGTTGCTTGGATGATGAAACTGGCATTGGCAGGAACGCACATCCTAGTGTAGGAAATGAGGACGATAGAAGAAGGCCCCACTCAAGTAGAGGAGCATGAGCAACTAATGGGAGGGATGTACCTGCTCACCAATACGCTCCTGCAAGGAGACTTCGATCGGAAGGGCTCGTTCAGTCATGAGGAAAATGAGATTCTGGTTCCTGAAAGCCAGGACGACGAATTCGAGGAAGGAGAAATCAAGGAGGCGTTTCGGGCGGACGAGTACGATGGGATCTACCGGGAATTGGGGTTGCTCCTATCATGTGAGATGAGGGATAGAGATGCAAGTGCCAAGGCACAGAAGATGAGGCACCTCTATATGGTAAGAGACGGCCACTTGTTTATAAAGCGGCAGGTCGGGAACCCCAAGAGGATCGTGTGCGGAAGGAACCGGCAAATTGATATCATAGCAGCCCTACACGATGGTATAGCAGGGGGGCACAAAGGAGTACGTGCCACATGCGCGAAGATAAGCGAGCTCTACCATTGGGACGGGATGATGACGATGGTTATCAAATACTGCGAGTCCTGTATACCTTGCCAAGAGAGGTCAGCGCAAAGGCCTGGAGAGCCCCTACACCCAAGGTTGGAAAGGGAAGAAGGTGCGGTCGTACACTTGGACCTGTTATTCATGCTAGCATAACTACATCTTCGACGCACGGGACAACCTTACTGGGTTTGTGGATGGACGAGCTATCCGGACGAAGACTGACTCGGTTTTGGCAACCTGCATCGAGGAGTATTACCTGCGATATCCTTTTGTCAAGGAGTTCGTGATGGATCAAGGATCAGAGTTTACCTGCAATGAGGTGAGAACATTGCTTGCAGGGTATGGCGTAGTGGCCAACTATACTACGGCCGCGCACCCTCAAGCGAACGCTCCTGTGGAGAGAGGGCACAGCACCATCACGAATCTCCTGGCTAAGTGGACAGAGGGCAAGCCTGGCCAGTGGCCAAAGTTCCTACGGACAACTTTTTTCATGGAGAAAGTTACCGTAAAGAGGACTACCAAGTACGCGCCAGCCACACTATGGTATGGGAGGCACGCCACGTTTCCCATAGAAAGCTTTATGAAAACGTGGAGGGGCCAGGACTTGGAGGTGAACCTGTCCTTCGAAGAACTGCTCTATATTCGGGCGCGGCAAGTGGGGGCGGCCGAAGAAAGATTGCGAGAGGCCGCTGGTCAGGTAGAAAGGAGCCGCATGGAAGATAAGATGAGGTGGGACCAGATGGCGCGAGTAAGGAGGGAGTCGTTGGCAGTGCGGGACGTCGTGTTACTGTACGACTCCTCTCAGGAGAAGCAATGGTCGAGGAAGCTCGACAAGAGATGGATGGGCCCCTATAGAATTTTGCGATGTGTTGAATTTGGGGCCTATCATATCGAGGAGCTGGACGGGACAGGCTGGCAGGATTGGGTATCAGGGACCAGGCTGAAGAAATTCGTGGCTAGAGAATAGGTAAAGAATTTTACGTTCTTCATAGTGGACTAGTCCTTGAGGTGTTGCATGTTATGATTGAGGCAGGTGAGGGAGTAGGAAAAGGCATGTGTGTTATCATAAAAACTCGATGAACCGAGGGCTAACCTTGTTGTGTGCCTGCTTGCATTTCTCTCGCCTGTTGTGCAGGTCTGACTTTTCGAAGACAGCCATGCAGAGAGGCGGGAGGGGCGTGCGGCCACGACAGAGGCCTCAGGGAGCATCAGGAGGGGATGACTCGCGCAGACCATCTGAGAGGGATTCTACACCTGTCTTCGACGACGATAACATAGAGTTTTTTCTGGACTCCTACCAGGCACATGCAACACGGGGGGGCTGGTCTACCTTGGGGAGGATACGGCACCTGAGGGGAGTTGGGCGTTTTGAGGAGCATATTGCGCACATCCGGGAGGAGGCTTTGACCTGGCAGGATGTGGAGGCGAGGATGCAGATGCTGAGGGCTTCGTCGTTGGGACCAGATGGGTTGCCTATTCGGTTGGAGGAAGGCAATGCAGAGGAGTTCATCCCTGCCTACGAGCAGTATATGCACGACCAGGGGGCTGGGCAGGAGGAGTGGATGCAGATGTTGCCCCTCTGGACGCGAAGGGCGGAGAGGCTGGGGGCGAGGCAGATCTGAGACAGGGCGCACGACTGGGAGGACTGCCAGGCCCAGTTGAGACAGGCATTTCGACGACTGGAGCCCGAGAGACCAGAGCCCAGGGTGGAGAGACGACAGAGGAGTAAGAGGCCACGGGGCCTAGAGGTGAGAGGGGCCACTACGACCAGGGGGGGCCGAAAGGCCTTAGCACAGCGAGAGGGGCCAGCAGAGGCCGCCCAGGCGGTGGAGCCAGTTCAGGCCACGGGGCCAGCTCAGGCGTTGGGGCCTCCATCGGAAGCTACTACGCCACCTCCAACACGGGCGGGGCCAGAGGAGGGCGAGAGGGCGAGGACACCTACTAATGTGGCGCCGCAACTAACTGAGCCTACAGGTGCACGCATGGATGTGGAGGTGCCGACCTCCAGGAGCCTCCGCCAGGGCCGCCACCCACAGAGGAGGGGACAAGTGAGAGAGACCCACTGCGAGAGGCCCATGAGGCGCGGCCAAGGAGGCCATCAGGGGAGACGAAAGAAGAGAAGCGCGCGAGGGTGCAGGTACGCCTCGAGGAGTTATACTAGGAGAAGATTAGGATGGAGGCCGCAGGTGAAGCGCCAAAGCCGCCAATTGACCCTCCGACGAGCGAGCAGAGGATTAGCGAGGCTTGGGCCAGCTATGAGGGTGAGAGGGATGCTGCTCGCCTGAGGTCACAAGAGGCAGGACAGGGGAATGCGAGGGTGGGCGAGGCACGAGAGACAGAGGACTTGGGATTTTCAGCCGCCAGGATGGAGATTGAGCGTACAGACAGGAGGATAGGTGAGGTGGGATCTCGTCCTTCCAACGGTACTCCATGCTCAGCGATGAGTTGGCAGCCTCGAGATTAGAAGTGGGACAGTTGTCCACCCAGTTGGTGGAAGAGAGGGCAGAGAACCAAGCGTGGAGGTCCCGCATGGAAGCCAAGGAGGCGAAGTGGGAGAAGAGGCTCCAAGACATGGCGGCAATGGTAGAGAGGCTCTCGGCCACAAAGGTGGTCGACTAGACGGAGCAGAGCCGGTATGGTATCCAGGAGAAGAAGGTACAGGGGCTCTTTGGCCAGGAAGGAACGACAGAGACGCCACAACAAGAGGGAATGGGAAAGGTATTCCTGGACCCAACAGAGGCGGCTGCAAGGCGGGAGGCCGAGGAGAGGAGGTTCAATTTCAGGACTCCCACGGAGTTGGCCTCGCAACAGGCCACCGCTATGACGATTGAGGTTCCTGGGGACGAACCGGCGCAGAGACCCCAACCTCCAGTGGCGGAGGGAGGCCCCACAGAGGAGTCCCCTACGATCCTTTTGGAGGTGCAGGAGGGTGCCCTTATGGGAACAACAGCATCCACTGAGCCGGAGGTAATGGGGGGAGACGCGTCTCGACTGGACGAGTTGGTGGCAGCTATGGAGCTGGACATGCCATCAGGAGGGCCTCAGAGGCAGGAGACCCCGGAGCGCGTGCCAGAGATAGGGGAGCTGAGGACGCAGTTAGGCTCTTGGGCTACTGGAGCTGACTCAGGAGAGCACATCTCAGAGCAGCAGCAGGAAGTTATGAGCGAGTCAGCGACTGCTGTGACCCCCCAGCCTTCTGACCTGTATAGGGGCGAGGGGGCGACTGCGATGGGAGGAGTCCGCGAGGGTAGGTCACTGAGATTGGACTCTCCAGCGTACCGACCCGAGGGAGATGAGATGCTAGTAGGGCCGAGTACCCAGATGATGGAGGCAAGACCGGCAGAGTCATGGAGTATGCCCCAGAGCCACGAGATGAGCAGGGAAACTAGCGAGACACCGCCGTTGCCTGGGTCCCAAAAGAAGAAGAGAAGGTGTCGAGGGAGATCAGACGATCAGTGCTTCTTCCGCAAGGACGGCGTACATAGGGCTCTTGAATGCCCGAAGTTCCTTAAGGACAAGGCGGCTGGGAGAGTGACAGAGAGTGATGGGAGGATGTACGACAGACAGGGGCGAGTGGTAGAGCGGGCTCTAGATGGGGGTAGGCCACAATTGTACAGGCAGAACCAGGAGGCCATGAGTGAGTAGGGGCTGGCCTGTCTATACGACAGTAGGACTAGAGTTCCTCTGTACCCAGAGATCGGGTTAGGGATATATGTACTCTGAGTCGGTTGAGTGGGTCCTAAGGGGTGTGCACGTCTGAGTTCGCCGTGGGAGTCCTGTCTAGTTGTACATACATAGGTGGCAGGGCTCAATCGGTCATTGGGTTTTGTGTGTGATACAGTTCGGCGGGTGAAATTCGGTTGTGAGATACCTGTGACTGTGTGAGTTGTACATTAGGTTTGGAGGTTCGGAAACCTTCTTTACATTTCTGATTGGATCCTGAGAGTCGTAACACTTGGGGGGTGAGTCCACCCTGTAGAGTGTACAGGGAACTGAGTGTTGAATTGTTCACTAGGGCGGGCATCCTATTCTTAGGTATATCCTAGGAATTGTGTGCGTGAGAGCTTGAGTTGAGTGTTGTATTGAGACTTGAGGGAGATATTTTGCTCCCGAGTATATTTTAATTTCACCCTCTGTGGGGTTTACTCTTGTGACGATCACGATCACTCTCACACGTGTGGCTTTATCCCAAGGAATGAGGGCTTTGTGTGAAGAGATGTGTGGGATACATCTCATGTATGTGTATTGTGTGATTGTGATTACCGTCTACTCTTCGGTATACTCTTGCGGCCTGCCCATGGGCGGGTGAAATGACCGAGTATAAGAGGAGGCAGCGCGGGTGTTTGGTGACAGATGTGTGAGGACCCTAAGGGGTCTTGCGAGCCTATAAGACTCGAATGCTTACCGGATGTTTATGGCTAAGTTGTAAAAGGGACCCATAAGTTGGTCCCCCAGTTCGAGACGTTTTGCGTACGAGTTGACAAAGAGGAACCTTAAGTAGGCCCTCAGGTCGCAAGTCAGTGCATAAAAATGTCATGGGATATGTGGTCTGCTGCCTCTGATCAAGTCAAGCAGGCCACGGCCTGGTGTGAGCCTAGTGGTGAATCTGTTTGTGATTGTGAAAAGGAGGCCACGCTTCCTATGTATCCCATAGGGAGCTGGTGAACGCCTTTAAAGTGAGACAGGCCCCTGTGTAGTCCTGCAGCGGGCCTGTGATCTGTTTTGTGACGCACCATCTAGACACCTATGCTAATCCTAAGGCATATTGAGGAATACCAAGCTAGACGGTAAAGGCTAGCACCCCTAGGGCGCAACCCCTATTGGATGGCTGCAAGCCAGCACAACCTGGCTGCGGGCCCATGTCTACCAGCAGAGTAAGAGTTTAAGAGGTTATGCACGGCCCGAGGAAATTACTCTGGTGGAGTGGCGGGGGATACGAGTCGAGTCGTTTGGGCGCCCTGATTGAATGCTTATCAAGAGAAAACCTATCGTTGCATAACCAACGAAGGAACCGCCGTTAAGACAACAATGTGGTGGGCCGTAGATCTGGCTCGATCAACCAGACTAGGTGGGCCAGGATGGACACCTAGCGCTTCTGTACTAGACTGCAGAAAGAGCTGAGAGGAGATTTACGTATATATATATATATATATATGTTTGATTGTGAGAATTTTCGCGAGGGAGGCGAGAGTGCCTTCTAAGGTCTTGTCTAAGGCCCGCGTCCCCGTATGACTCTGCTTACAAGAGAGAGTCTAACTGGGACACCCAACGAAAAGTCGGCGTTTGTCTAGGACGAAGGGGAAAGGACGGTTTGAGGTGGCCTTTGGAACTTATGTTGTAGTATTGATGCGTAATACACCTGCGTCCTAGTGTCAGGACAATGGAAACCCAGGTTGAAATCCTGGCAGCATATAGTTATGTCGGCATAGAGTGTTGGAGGCCTCAACCCTGAGTCTCCTTGTGCGCTGCACGTCCGCGGATCTCGAGACTCCACTGGAATCGACGGTGCGAGTACAGGGAATCTCGAGTCCCATACGTGGATGACGATCGTTTCGTACATCGATGATCACCTGGACTCCTGGAGAGAGCCTTAGTGGGAGAAGATGGTCAGAGAGTGCCCAATGCCCATGGGCAAAGACCTATAAGTTCGCTAATATGCTGGGGTGGGGAAGTTATATTCCCGTGCCCCGTGATGTCCTCGGTCCAGTGCGATTGCGTCACTTGTGTAAAAAGCAGAAATTTGATCGCTATTACAGTTTGTTGGACTGCCAATATATGACTGCCTTACCGCACACATCGTGTCGTGCGATGAAACAGGAGTTGCTTGATTGTGCCCGACATTCTCAGTTCCTGGATCAGTATCCTTTGCAATCTCCTGGGCTATCGCCTCGAGCAGTGTCATAATACTGCATCAAATTGCATCTGGCAGCGTTTGTCTTCTGCAGGGTCCTTTGTGTTGCGTGTTTGAACATGAATAGGACCTTAACTGACGTTGTGGTGTACGTGTTAAGGAACGAGTTGGAAATGGCTAGAAAAGGGATGATTTTAGTTCAACGAGAAGTTGACGGGAAATGGGATGTAGTGATCGACAGTAAGGTGGACGATGTCGACGCATGGTGTGAGGTTGAAGCAAAAGTGTCGTCTATATGGGATGCTATAGGGTCAGTATAGGTAGTTCTCTGGTTGGCAGGTCCGGCTTCGTCCGCATGAAATATATTTCAGTGTCTGAGGATGACGCTTTCGCCGAGGAACCACAATATCTGACGTTCAGATCGCCAATTAGAACGTTCAATGACTACATGACTACGATAGCTCTCCGCCATCGGTAGACTTTCTGCACATTCGGCAATTTTTTTTTGGCGACCGTAGATAAAAATGATTAGACTGCCAGTTTTCCGGTTTTGTAAGTCGTTCAGCGCTTTGTTATCAATGATTTGAAGTCATTCCGTCTTTTGATTCAATCAGTCAACTTTTGGTTTTCTATATCCGGGACCTCATAAACAAAATGTTTCGATTTCTTGACTATTGGTAAAATTTTATCGATGGTACATGCCTTCAAAGCATTTGGTTTTCTATATCCGTGGTCTAGTGAACAAAATGTTTCGATTTCTTGCCTGTTGTTCAAATGTTGTCAATGGTACATGCCTTCATGCTACGAATGTGGATTTGACTGTCACGTGACGAGCAGGGATGGTGAATGACTCTGCCCGAAGAGTTCTCCTACTTTGGATACTCACAGTTGTATATCACGCAGCCGCGTTCGTTATCGACTCCAACACGACGAACGTGTTGGATGTTGCCACCTCGACGGTTTGGCGGGATGTTGATGCGCTGCGTGACCGTGTCGATGGAAATCATGTCGTCGTTGTATGTGTCTCGTCTTCAGCAGGTCGAGGGATCCGTTGTGTCGAAGTCCCACCACCGGAGGGCTTGTGGGTGGAAAAGATTTGTCGTGTCGAACACAATGATGCTCATAAGGAGGTTGTTGTCGTATTCGAGACGACCATTCCGGAGGATGTCTTTATTTGTGTCCCGACCTCAACACGTCGAGGGATCCGTCGTGTCGAAGTCCCGACAACGGAGAGCTTGTGGGTGCCAAGGATACATCGCGTCGAACACAATGATGTTGCTAAGGAGGTTGTTGTTGTGTCCGACGCGACCATTCCCGAAGGGAGGGTGGTTGCGAGGGATTTGTCGTGTCGAATACGACGATGCTTCTAAGGAGGTTATTGTCGTGTTCGACGCGACAATCCTAGAGGGCGGGTTGGTATCGCTGTCCGCAGTTACACTGTCGCACATGGTCTAAGAAGAATTGTCGGAAGGGGATTGATTGTCGAACACGGCGATGCTTCTTAGGAGGCTGTTAATCCCACGTGGCAGGTGAGTACAAGGCATTCGTCGTGTCTGACACAACAATGCTTCTTAGAAGGCTGCTGTATCACGCAGGGAGGGTAGGTGCCGCTTTCCGGGTTGTCGCGTCGAACAGGATAACACCCTCCTAAGAAGTATTGTCCAAAGGATTTATTGTGTCCGACGCGATGATGCCATTACGACAGTATTCGAGACGGTGGAATGGATGCATGTCCGTCCCATAAATGAAGGTGTTTCTCATTTATTGTGTTTACGTTTTTGATCGTTTTTTGCGTTGTTGATCGATTTTTGCCCGACAGCTTGAATATTACTAGCTTCTGGTGGATTGTATAGAATGGATGCTGCAGAGAAAGAAGGAAAACGCTGAAGGACCAGGAGTTGTGCGAATGTCAAGCAACCGCCCAAAAAGTCGAAGGGATCCCCGGTTGCTGGGGTCGAGAAAGAAGAGACTCCAGGGTCTAAGGCGACTACGCAGCGCCGATCGTCAAGCTTTGCGATGCAGACGCCTGTGCACCGGGGTACACCTCTTTCAGGTCCGATGAGTCGCCTTAGACGATATGATCAAGACAGAGAGGTGACATTGCTTGTCCGAACGGCGGGGAGTGTTCAAGGGTCTGATGGTCGTGGTGAAGGGTCTGGTGGTCGTCGGTGGAACTATGCACAAAAGACAGTGGGGCATGCAGGCTCCGCTGAGAAGTTTGCCCATGGGCTATTCGAGGCCGTGCCCGTCGTTGACTACGAAGACAAATTCCGGATGTTGGACTGGGTAGGCGATATTTGGCAGGTTGGTAATGGTATTCTTCTGTATGTCGTCTTACAAGACCAAATCAGACCAATAGGTGGTATAGCGTCTTGGTCAGGCAGGCAACGTCCGGTTGCCACTTTTGAGATGACTATGTTATTGAACGACAAAGGGGAGAGAGTTCCTAATATCAGACATGTTATTGTCCGGTGGAGAAAACATTATGGATATGGTAAATTGCTGGTGGATCTATTCAATCCGGATGCAAATCAAGAACTGAAATTGCTCGATCTCGTTAAGGTTTTCGACTTCTTCTACTAGAACAAGATTCAAGGTCACAAAGGCTCATAAAGATGACACTATGACGGAACCAAAAAGTGTGATGTCATCAGCTGCACTAGGACAATCTTCATGAGCACTCAAAGGGATATCAGTGCGACCAACTGTAGGTGCCATATCGATTCGACCGTCTGTGTCCACGCCCCTTGCCCCGAAAGCAGGACATATCATTGCGAAGGGACTTGCTCATGCACAGGTTGCGCCGCCAACTTCGAAGAAGATTTTGCCAATAGCATTGAAAGAGCCACTCGTAAAATTGCGCGACATTGTGCGTTCCGCGAGCATGTGTGGGGCCGTTGTGCAAGGATATGACGAGCCTTTGTATTTTGAAGATATGGGGGAAGGGAGCAGCGCAGAGAGTACACAGAGAGAAGAGGAAGAGGAAGGTTCACAGATATAAAAAGTCACAGAGAGGAAGAAGAGGATAGTGAAAACAATATTAGCGAGAGGGAAGGTCGTCAATGGAGTCACAAGGTCGAGGATGAAGAGGAAGCACGACACTCACACATTCTTGCGGAGCTTCGTGTCGACCAGGGGGACAATAGTGATGACGAGCACTGAGGCGACATTCGGGAGCACGAACAGGATCAACATGAGTACGCTGCGCACCACAAAAGTAGTGGAAAAACTAGGTGGGAGAGGAGAAAAAGTCTCGAGGAGAAGAAAAGGAAAGGGAGAACTCCATCGTCGCCCCCTGCAGCTGTTAGAGATCTCAAGGAGAAGAAAAGAAAAGTTAGGCAAGAAAGAAGAAAAAGTCTCAACCAGAAAAGGAGCAGGAATGAGAAACCACAAAAAAGACAGGTGTAATCTCCCGATGGATGAAGCAGTCCAACGTACTCGCGACGCAGAAGTTGCTGCCAAACAAAAGTCGATGCGGAAAAAGAGAGTAACAAAGGGCGGTACAATGCAGAAGACGACCGTTTTCCTCGCGTCTGAACAACCGCAGTCCGGCGATGAGGCAAAATGCAAGACTATCACGCGACCATCAAGATTGCAACTGTCGCCAAGTGAGTCAACGACTTTGCATCTCGGGAAAGGCGTATTTCCGGACTTCAATACTGACGGTACCCAGAAGAGCGAGATACAGTTCATCACCGTTGAATTCCAAAAATTTGTGGATATTCCAAGGAATTTAGATATAATCAGAGATTCCTTGGCCAAAATCACATTGACGAGATCTATGAAGCGATGGTTACATCAGGTGAAGCGGCCATTCGAAAAAGGACAACAGGCAGAACGGGGTTGAACATATTTCTGTTGTATGAGAAACCAATACTGTTGTTGGTGGCACTGCATGACCAACTGCATATAGACTCATCAGATAAGGTTTTGCAAGCAAGAAGGGTCTGAAGGGTTACTCCTGATGATTTTTATAATAAAACACTAGATAAGTACTTCTGGTACCCTCTCAGTGGTCAACACAACGTTGCAGCAACACAAAGTTGTTTTCGCGAAAATCCGGCTGTGGCAAAAGAGTTGCGGTTGGATTACTGGACAACTAGGCCAGTTTATTATCCGAACTACTTCATTGATCACTCTGGGAGGTTGAGCACGTTCCAAAATGCGAAGGACAAATCGAACACTACGCCTCATCATAGCATTGTTGTTTGGGATATCCGAAAGTTGTGGAACGCGTCCGACTATCCTAAAGCCAAGGGCGAGAAGGGAGTTGATGTAAAAAATACGGAGTATAGAAAATTCGCAGGGAAGGCTCTTAGAGTGACTAGCCTTGATCATTATATTAGTATGTCACTCGGTCAGTGGAGTTCAGAATGGTCCGACTTCCATAGTCCTTACATGATCTTAGCTAGATCGTCGGATGACGTATTTCAAAAGGTGGAGCAGGTGTATGCGGCTTGGGAAAGCAGACAACTGTCGGGGAGAGATGCTGATGAACGTGCAGGTCTGCGTAAAAGAGTGTGGAAAGCGCCTCGCATACATTCACAAAGGAACAGTGACAAAATATTATACGTCGTGGTTTGCAAGCCTTGTCAACGTTGTCGTTGTTGCCCCAAAAAGTTAGAAGACGCACCTAACACGCGACGATCCTGTTTGTGAAGCCAGCTGCCTTAAGGATATTTAAAGTTGTGGGAAAAGATACCAAACAAGGGAAGAAATTTAACAGTGAAGGTCGCACATTGTCTATTGTAGAAATCATCAACGACAACGAAGTAGGCGAACGAGCACCGCCATGAACTCGTATCCGCTTGTTGTATTAATTTTATAAAAAGCACCACTTTTACAAAAGTCTTAGACATACCGTTGTTGTTTACGTGTTTGTATGCAGTACCTGACCCGTCATTCAAGATTCTTCTACCAACAATACGCCTCACTAGGTCGAGATGCAGTATGTTAAAAGGACTATTAGCACCGGTGAAGATAACGAAGAATACGGCATCGTTTTTTACAAGGGTGACTGAAAGGTGGAAAAGAAAGACATCATGGTCATCATCGAAGATGGAGGATGGTTGAATGACGAAGCTGTGAATTTGTATCTGCTAGCCATCCAGTTCGACAATGACAATGCAAGACAGAGTTCGATGTTCGGATAAAAGATTAGAGACGAGAGTCCCAATGACATTCTATTTGTGTATATTTTATATTCCTTTTTCTATGTCAGATTGGTATCCGCACTGCCCACATAAATTGCTTACTGTGAGGGAATGAAGTGGGTTAGGGAAAAAAATATTTTTGATTTCAACTTTTTACTTATCCCTCTTAACTTTGAAAACCACTAAGCTTTAGCATGTGTTAGAATAGACGGTTGCAATTGTGAATTCTTCCTTGTAGACTCGCTCCGTTGCGCTGACCACCTCGCACCGTTTGAACTATTAGCGGCGTTCTTTAGAATGAAGTTCCAACGTCAAAATCTTCATGAAAGATATCACGTGGACGACCTTACGAGAAGTTACGACATCTTTTGAGACATGACTTGATGGGGTGCCCACCCAACAGGATGATTGTAGTTGTGGTGTTTTTATGTTAGATTTTGCATTTTTGCTAGCGAAAGGTCACTTCGCTCCATTCAAATTCTCGCAAGACAACGTCTCACATATGAGGCATAGAATCGCATTCGAAATTTTATCGATGGTCGAGCATGAGTGAACATTCCAGATACGCGGCTTATGATATTATTCAACACTTTGTTGATGGTTAAAAATAGCTTTAATGGTTGGTATGTGTCATTCAACACTTTGTTGATCGTTAAGAATAGTTTCAATGGTTGGTGTTGCTTTCCACAATTTTAAAATGTTATTGTATAATGATGTATTTCTTAAGCTTTTCAATGCTAAGCTTTCACAATTTCGCTTTGTTCCATCGTTTTTTTACTCTTTCCTCCTCTCTTTTGTGTGTCATTTTACACTTGAAAGAAAAAGTGAACATGAAAACAATTTCACTTTTAACAAAAACACTGTTTGCACCCACCTGCCTCATCCGACCCACAAGGTGATTGGGTCGGTTATGGGTCTACTTATGCCTGCTTGGATGGGTGACGGGTGTGTGCAACTAGTAGGCATTCAAGGGTCACCGGTCCGGTAGGTGCCAGGTGGGTGAAGCTTTGGCCTGGGTCACCTGGCCGACAGATCTAGGACAAAGAAAAAAAAGACATTGGGTTTTCTTGTGCGGTGCACACACCCGAGGTTGGGTCGCATTTTACATCGGGGCACACAAAAATAAACTACACTCTAGGAGTTCAGCCCTTCGACCAATTTTTCTTTGAACGAGTGAGCATATCCAACTATAATAGTCGGCTAGATACATTCATTTACTTGGCCTTATTTTTGCTCGACCTCATGAAGGAGTGACATTGGCTCAAGGTAACAAGGTGGCGACAGCTGTGGAGTCGTGGGTAGGGCTGCATTGGCACGATTGGGTAATAATGTTTACACAGGTGCAGGTGGATCCGGGTGGGTCCGGGTGAGGACTTTTTTCGGGTGGTGGGCGGGTCCGGCGTAGAGCTGAAATTACAAAAACATTTTGGGTGGGTGGGGTCGTCTTGAGGTGGAAATTAAATTATTGAGATGGGTGGGTGGCTCAGAAAACAAATTGGGTGGCTTAGGTCATAGGTAAAAAAAAAAAAATACCCACCTCGGCCTCCTTCTACCCAACCATCACCTACTCACCAACCCACCCATCAATACATTTATCCATTTATATATTCATCCACCCACCCATCCACCTACCCATCCATCCTTTCATCCATCCATCCATCGACCCACCCACCCACCCACCGACCCATCCATCCATCCATCCATCTATTCATCAATCCATCTACCACAAGTGGATAACAAAAACCTCCCGAAATTTCACAATGAAAGATTATGTAGTGCATTGGCAGAGGTATAAAATCGTGGAGATAAACTGAAAACACGTTTCAAAAACTTTTGGCACTTCATGTCATTTCAAGAGTTTCACGTGGGGAGACATGAAACCTATGAAATGATCAAAAGTGGCTCAAGCTTCTGGAAGCGGATTCAGGTCTCCTATCCAAATGTTTGAATGGGGGGACCTGAAACTGCTTTTAGAAGCTTCAAGCCTTCAACCACTTCATATCATTTCAGGGGTCTCAAGTCCGTGAACTTGAAACCTCTAAAATGATATGAAGTGGTTGAAGCTTCTCAAAGCGGGTTAAGGTCCCCCCATCCAAGTACCCAACATTCGTCTCAAGTAGCTGAAAGTAAGTTGAAAATAGAGGCATTTGT